AAGGAAAGCCTGAAAGGGAAAACCTAAAGATGACAATATCTGCTAGCGGTGGATCTGGGCCGTTAGACTCACGGTTTTAAAACGCATGTACTAGGGAGGGGTTTCCATGCACGTATAAAAAATGTTTTATTCTCCTCTCAAATCGATGTGTGATATCAGCCCGACACCAAACGGTGTGCCAACAAATATAAAAACAACGTCCTTCAATTATCATTTTTTTAAAATGTTACGTTATAAACCATAGGAATAAATTTCGAAACAACAATCTATAAAGGAATGATATTGTTGTCTATCAATTCGAGTTAAATTTAAATTCGGCCATGTGGGTTTAGACTTAAAATATCGAACATTTTCGTATTTAAAAAATGGTTGTCTCGACATATAACTACACATGCATCTCAACTATATATTAAGATTCAATGGATTCTTAAAACGATTATATGAGTTAATATGTTGGATAAAATTAATAAAAATAATTCTTATAGTCAAATTTGGACGAGAACCATCTATCGACTCCTCATAGATTATCGACATTTCATCGTTTTATTTTTTAAAAAACAAAATAATTATTAGCTGGTATAAGTCAAAGTCGGGTAATAATTGAATCCAATTCAAATTATCGTTCTCTCAATTGTTTAACATTACGGTGCCACATTAAATAACGATCGTGATCAGATTTTTATAATCATTTTCGTCTAATGTGTATCTTAATGCTCGACAGTAGGGTACGATAGCCCTTACGTGAGGATTATATTTCTCTCGTCCAGAAACAACTACGGAGATGGTGATTGGACCACTGACAAGTAGCTCGATGGAGAAACGAGCTACATTACACGTGTAAGGTGTGGAATTCATCTAATTTTACCTAACAGAATGAGGACCAGACGGTCTAGGTTAGTTCGTTCGATAGTCATTATCTGGTTAAATGAAGTATTAGCAAAGAATCTGTAAATATAATCGTCGTGTACTAACCCTAATTCACCCGAGAAAATTTTACACGATTATTTCATAGACGTTTCCCGAGTTATAAATTTCGATACAATTATTTTAACTAACCCATTAGAAAAAAAATAAAAAAATAATAGAAAATCAAACAGATCTAAAGCAATTTTTTTTTAGTAATTATTAATTTTCAGAGTTAAAAATTAAGCATTAAAAAAGACAAATAAATTATTTTTTTTTTCTTGTTTTCCTTTTTTGATAACTCCCACGATGTCTTGTCTGCATAGGTTCTTGTTTTTAACCTAACAAAAAAAAATTAATTATTTTTAATAAAATTATTATTATTATTATTATTTATTTTTGAAGATTTAGGGAATATACGATGGGGCCAAGCTTCATTTAGATCTAACTAATTTTAAATAATATTAATAATTTTTTAAAAAATTTGTTAATTACTTTAATTATTTTAATTAATTATCCTAAAGTGGTTCTTAATTCATGAACCGTTTAAATTTTATTGAGGCACCTAATTAAGGGAATATCACTAATCATAATTAAGACTACTTAATTAGTGACATGTTAATCATCATCCTTGTAATGTTCTTCAAAATGTTTGAACATGATTAGGTGTATAATTTTGATTTGGTTCTAATTTAAAAACATTAAATGTATAATAAATTTTTGGTTAAACTGGTCCAATGATTATCTTGAACAGTTCTATGCAGACTGGACTGGCGTCCCGGGATTATCCCTCTGTGACCGTGTAGCTCCCGGGTAATCTTTCGTCTCGACCGGTGGTTAACAATCACTTAAAGAATGAAGAATGTGATGAATATAAAAATAATCAGTAAGCAATCTAATTGTAGGTTCACGTAACATGTCACAGTAGATTACCTCAGACTTTTATCTAGGCTCTAAGAAGCTCAAGCCTAATCTTTACGAGCCCAATTTTATCTTGAACAGTTCTATGCAGATAGGATTGGCGTCCCGAGATGACTTCTTTGTGACCGTGTAGCTATCGAGCAATCTTCTGTCTTGATCGGTGGTCAACAGTCACCTAAAGAATGAAGAATGAGATGAATATAAAAATAATCAGTAAGCAATCTAATTGTAGGTTCACGTAACATGTCACAGTAGATTACCTCAGACTTTTATCTAGGCTCTAAGAAGCTCAAGCCTAATCTTTACGAGCCCAATTTTATCTTGAACAGTTCTATGCAGATAGGATTGGCGTCCCGAGATGACTTCTTTGTGACCGTGTAGCTGTCGAGCAATCTTCTGTCTTGATCGGTGGTCAACAGTCAGTCACCTAAAGAATGAATAATGAGATGAATATAAAAATAATCAGTAAGCAATCTAATTGTAGGTTCTCGTAACATGTCACACTAGATTACCTCAGACTTTTATCTAGGCTCTGAGAAGCTCAGGTCTAATCTTTACGAGCCCAATTTTACCCTTGAACAGTTCTACTACAATGCATTACTACACACGTTTTTTTTTTATTTTATATTAACTTCACTACTTACATTCATGTGGTTAGGAGATCGAAAATCGATCTTTGAGATGGTAATTAGTGTATTATTCTCTAAATTATGCTCGGGTTAACCATAAATTAAAAGGAAAAAATTCAATACACCAAATCATTATCAAATTAGAACTTCATTTACGAATCTTGGTAATAAATAAAACCCACGATTTTTTCGGAAGAACAGATCGTTCCAGCTCGATAACGTCGAGAATTCTTGGTTTCTCACTCCCGGTTTATAAGAACAAAAGCTATGAAACACATCACATTGAAGCATATAAAAACACCAAAAGACACAAAGTTGATGAAATGGTAGACAACCATAATGGAGAGGGTGAAGTTTAGAGATTTTGTTGCTATCAAAGCAAGGTTGTGTTTGAGACATTGCAATTTATTGAAATTTTTAATCAAATCCTAATGATTTTGGGATCATGCCATTCAAACCCCAAGGCTGTTTCAGACAAATCTAAAGCAAACAGACCACTCTCATAAATATTTGATTCATTTTGCTTATTTCCACCCCTTAAAACCCTTTAAATTATTAGGTGAATCATTACGTGATACACGTTCGTGATCTTGTAATATTTGGATAAATAATGAGTATTTGATTCAGAATGAGAGTGATTCTATGGATAGAATTGTTGAGAGAGTCTTAAAAGAATTGGAGTTGATATTTATATAAACTAAGTGTAAAGTGTAGCTTCGTTTTCCGTGCTTAGTCATAGAAACTCTAAAATTAAACGGGTTTTGCTTTGAAGGAATTCTATGTTGGGTGACAATCTTTAGAGGATTTTCCTAGAAAGTATGCCGAAAGGATTTGTGTTGGCCTGTGCGGATAGTTTTCACTCTTAGAAGCACTTATAGTGAGATCCCATATCGATTGGAGAGAGGAACGAGTGGTAGCGGGAACGCTGCGTCTCGAAGGGAGGTAGATTGTGAGATCCCACGTTGGTTGGAGAGAGGAACGAAGGAAAATTCTCCCGAGTAGACGCATTTTAAAACCTTGCGAGCGAAAGGAAAAGCCCAAAAAGGACAATATCTATTAGTAGTGGGGTTAGGCAGTTGCATACAGAGAAGTAGGCAACAACATGACCATGTCATAAGAGATACACTAGAAAGTTAAGGTCATCATGTGTCAAATCTAAATTTCAAGTCTTGATTCGGTTCTTAAGCACAGAGCGATACAGATCTATCTAGTAAACACCTATAAACAAGTAGATAGCATAACTGTGTCAAGCGTTACATATCTATTTAATAAGCAATACAATACAAATAGGTTTGTAGATCTCAAGGATTAAACCAAATTTAAAGCTCCTCATGAACATAATCTACCAAATTTATTTTGTTGGTGCACTTAATGATGGCGGATTTGATATAATTAGGTATCATTAAGATCTGTTAATGCTGGATTTTAGTTCTCCCATGGGATGCATTAAGAGGCATGCGCAGCAGCTTTATTGGAACTCATACAAATCAATTACGAAAAATCACAAAGCTCAACAAACCTCTTGTATTCAATTGGAACTCATAGATTTTGAAGTTTGAAAATATCTGAAAGGCCCCTAAATTTTCATTTAAAATTTACAAATAAAATAGATTTATTCTTTTTAATTTCGCATATATTAGAAATTCAAAAACTTAATGGACATTATCCGAAGAACATACTTCCACGTAAATAGAAAGTTTAGGAATCACATTTTTAAAAGTTCATAAACCAAATAGATACAAACTTAAAAGTTTGAGACCAACCTTATAATTTTCTACCTTAAATGTTCTTAAATAACAAATCTATTTTAGTTGGAATGCACATATAACATTACAAAAGAATGAGAGATTTAGTCTAAGATCCTACATTGGTTGGAGAGGGAAACGAATCATTCTTTATAAAGGTGTGAAAACATCTCCCTAGTTTTAAACGCTACCCACAATACGTAACAGGCAAAAGCAGACGATATCTACTGGCGGTGGGCTTGCGTTGTTATAAATAGTATCAAAGTCTGGTGTGCCAGCAAGGACACTGGCCCCTAAAGGGGTGAATTGTGAGATCTCACATCAATTGTAGAGGAGAACGAAGCATTACTTATAAAAGGTGTAACAACCTCTTCCTAGTAGATACATTTAAAACCGTGAGGCTGACAGTGATACGTAACTAGTTAGACTATATTTAATTGAAAATCTAATTTAATGGTGAGTAACGTGGGAGAGGAGAACCAAGCATTCCAAATAAGGGTGTGGAAAACTCCTCCTGGTTTTGGAAACCCATAGTAAAAGGTCTAGATTGACAAGATTCGTGTATGTACTAGCGATTATGAAATTGCACTCACCTATATATATAACGTGAAATAATTGCAAAGAATAATAAAGAGTGTAGCTAGACTATCGGAACCCGAGTAAAACCAATGATGAGATAAGCTCAAATGAGATAGATGATAAACGAGAGACTATTATTCATCCTTGACAATATGGATTACCAATAGCCTTATACCTGATGAGCATAACAAAAATGAAATAACACAACACCTACAACAAGGAAGATGACAAACAAATTATTGATTTCAATCAAAGAAAGGAATCATGATCAGACAGTCCTCTCATCCATCCATCCATCAAAACTAATTGTAACTCAAATATGGTCCTTAAGATCGAGGTTAGATACATCTACATGACTCCTCAATGAAATATAGAGCCATCTAATGCAACATGGAACGAAAGAGTGTTCAGTAAAAATAGATTTATTTCCCTTTAAAATTCAACCGGTGCGTCAATTTTGATGCTGATAAGAATCATCAGCCATACCTCAGTGATGAGCCTTTGCTTCAGCTTTCTTGTGAGATTTTGCCTTCGCCTGTGGTGATAAAATAGGAATTGAAGCATAATTCTAAAATCAGACAGGTGCATTTAGAATGGCCCCAAGAGATAGCGATAAATAACATGAGATTTGTAGATCATAATGATTATAAGTTAATCTGAAATTGAACAGGAATGTCACTAGAAATGTGTGAATAAATCATATAGTCGTCATTGAGTATAGTGATGGAAATTAACACACCTTTGATAGCCCATTTAAAACAATTAATCCTTTCATGGCATTAGACATTTGGACCAATGTACTTTTAAAAATTGTAACAATTCCCTCAGTTAAAAATTTCATCTTCCTCCGGCAGTTCACATTTGCTTCCACTCTTCTTTTGAAATCTTCAATTCTACAGTGGGTTTAATTTCTCCCATTTGAAGTTTGAGAGCAGAAGTATTTGTTACTAGAAGAGAACAATGTCCAATCCAGAAATTTCTTTAAACATTTTGATTGGGAAGGATGAAAGCAGGTGAACTTTCATTGAAGTATTTGCAGACAATTCCAAAACCTGCAGAGATTTTCTGAGCCTTTTACACTGGAGCGAAGGGAATCGAAAGATCTGGGAAGCTACTGTTGGATTTCAAATAATCGGCCGGGAAATCCTTTATTTTCGGTGAGAGGAAATTGTCGACAACAGGTTGTTAGAAGGAAAATAAAATGCGTAAAATAAGAAGAGAGAGAATGATGAAATTTTGGCTTCCCCTTTAATTCAGGTTGTGAAAATATTCTGAACAGATTCCCTATTTAAATATAACCTATCCTAAAAATTGCTGGAGAGTGGCCAACTGAATCTGTGCCACTTCCTCCTAAATTGCCGTCTAAAACTTAGTTAATCCATTCGACGTGTTTGTCAAATGGTAAAACGGAGAATGAAGGTAATCGTGTGAATCTAAATAAGGAAAAATCAGGTTTTATCTAACAATCTCCTCCTAAAACCTGTGGTACATCTACCTTATTTCGTTTCAACTCCGTTTTGAGCCCTATGGCTCGATGTCCCTGGCGGCATGTCCTCCAGACTCCACGTCTTGTTCGGCTGTCTCTTCTTCGAGTTGGCGTGCCGCCAGTCCAGGTGGTTCACCTCTTCCTAATAGGTCTTTCCATCTTCCGATACCTAGCCGAGAGGTTGACTGGTTGCTCTATCGCCAGCTTTAGGATGTAAAGGCGGTTTGCCGTGCACCGAACTTGCGTGAGCAACCGCCGTCGATCATCGCGGATCCTAAGTAGCCCGCGTTTGATGGAAATGTGGCAGCCGGCCTTATCGAGTTGACCCAGGCTCACAATATTAGCCTTGAGTCTCGGGATGAAGTAGACGCCGGTCAGCTTGTGATGATTGCCTCCCTTGCCGACGAACAGGACGGTGCCGTGCCCTTCGATCTCGACGACAGAGCCGTCGCCGAGTTTCACCGTCCCGCGAATCCCCGAGTCAAGCTCGGAGAACGCAGACTTGGCCCCAGTCATATGGTTTGTTGCCCCCGTGTCGAGGACCCATTGTTGGTGCTCTTGCTGCTCACCTCTTTTACTTATTTGAGCGAACATTCGCTCCTCCTTCAGTTGAATTGGCTCCCCAGCCGGTGCCTTTGTTATGCACAATTGGAGCTCTTCCTCGGGTTTACGCTCACCGGAGAAGTTATGCCGTCGTCGATTACCTCTGTGGATTTGGGGAGCTCTTCCTCGGGATTAAGGACGCCAGGTAGGACTGACGCAGTCACCATGAAAAGGGCCGGCTCGTCCTCCTCGGATTGAGCCACATGGGCCTTCTCGGTTGTCTCCTTGTTCCTGAGCTTGCTCCAACAATTCTTGCTCAAGTGACCTCTCTTCCCACAGTACGAGCACTTGATTGGCCCGTCATCAGTCGGCTCCTCCTTTTGATCCGCCTCTTTCTCGCGCATGCGCCGGCGAGATTTCCACGGCTTCTTACCGCCTTTGCGGCTGGAGGGCCCATTGCTCTCGCCGGTTTCATCACGGAGCTTTAGGCGTGCAAGTTATTCCTCCTCAGTGAGGAGTAGACGACCCTCCTTGTCGACAGCTGAAATAGTATTTTTCTTCCGCTGCTCGACGTTACGCAGTCTTCCGGTCACCTCTTCCACCGTTAGGTCGTTCATGTCAAGCAATGTCTCGATTGAAATCGCGACTTGCTCGAGGTGATCGGGGATGACCTGCAGCATCTTCTTCACGATTTCTGTCTCGCTGATGCTGCCACCAAGTGTGGTGATGCTGTTGGCGAGCCCCGTGATCCGCATTGAAAAATCATCGACGGATTCGCCATCCTTAAAAGCGGATCTCCGAGAGCTCCTTCCGCAGCTGCTCAATCGTTTCTCCTTCCTCTGGCTCGATAGCATGCCTAACCCTTGCGGTAGGTTGACGCGCATCAACAAGGTCCACACTCGTTATAGTTGGACCTTGTTAATATCGCATACTGAACCACGGCGGTCGTTGTCTCCCTGATCACTCGCTCAACGACAACTCGACGCCCGTCATCACGGCGTCGGCCACGGCCTCTTCGTGGTGGTGATGGAGATACCAGCACTTGGCGACGTGGAGGAGTGAGCGAGCCTGCTCGAGATGGACCCCACGATGTGTTTATTTTTGCACTTTGCATTTTCTTCTACTTGAACCTGAGACCTATGTGTTGTTAGGTCGACGCTCTAGCCACTTGAGCTATTCAACTTGATTGTTGATAGGTTGGCTCCTCCGCAATGATATACACCGATGGCTTCAACCGGGCTCTGATACCACTTGTTGGATTTCAAATAATCGGCCGGGAAATCCTTTATTTTCGGTGAGAGGAAATTGTCGACAACAGGTTGTTAGAAGGAAAATAAAATGAGTAAAATAAGAAGAGAGAGAATGATGAAATTTTGACTGCCCCCTCCAATTCAGGTTGTGAAAATATTCTGAACAGATTTCCTATTTAAATATAACCTATCCTAAAAATTGCTAGAGAGTGGCACAGTGTGCCACTTCCTCCTAAATTGCCGTCTAAAACTTAGTTAATCCACCATTCGACGTGTTTGTCAAATGGTAAAACGGAGGATGAAGGTAATCGTGTGAATCTAAATAAGGAAAAATCAGGTTTTATCTAACAGCTACTGTACTGTAAAGGCTCAGAATCCCCAAACTTCATGTGTCAAGGAAGAGATTATCAATTGTATCATAGCTCTCCACTTCCAAGGTGATTGTTTTGCAAGGTTTTCAACAAAAAAAAAAAAAAAAAAAAAAAAAAAAACTGCATTCACCCAAAAAGACGAAGCACCAATGTAGGGTAGTCCAATTGAAGAAATCAAACACACAGCCCACAAAAGTCTGCTGCATGCACCACCACTTCATCCTTTCGTCTCACAATACCCACCCTTGAAATCAAACCCACCAAATAATTGAAGAAATTTGAAAGAAGAGGGGAAGCAAATGATGGGAATGGAAGAGAAAGTTAACGAAAGTGTTGGAGGATGGCAGAAATTTTAACGAAGGGACTAAATGGTTACCTAAATTGTTACTTTTATGAAAATTTGAGAACCAATGGTGATTTTTTAGCCTTTAATATATTTATCAACTATGTTGTAAAGCATAAATAGTTGCTCCAAGAAAAATGTTTAAAATTTAAATTTCAAAATGATAAATTAATGATAATCTGTGATGAAATAATCAAAATAAACAATGGAACAAATTGCAATCAGAAAACGCATCAATTGCATCATAAATAATAGTTATCACAAAGAAAATCCTAATTCTAAGGAATCGATACTCTAGATCAGAATCTTTTTTTTAAGAGACAATTTCATTGGTGAGTAAAATTTACAAGGGGGATGTATAATCCATGATGTTTACAAAAGACCTTCCCAATTTGCAATGAGGGAGGTATAACTATAGAAAGTAAAAATATTAGACAGTTTACACCAAGATATAGCTTGGTAAACAACATTGTCGAAAAGTTCTGTGTAGGTCTGTATCGTTTCTACAAATATTCTCTGATTTCTTTCTTTCCACAGATTCCAAAAGAAAGTCATGATGAGGTTTTTCCATAATAGGGCTTTTGCATTTTTGAAAGGGTGGTAAGTTAAGGCCATATCCAATTTTTTTTTTTTTTTTCAAGAATAGTGAAGACAGTATTTTAAAAAAAATAAATAAATGACTATCTGTATTTATCAGGCACTTGAAATGGAATTGGAGGATCCATGAGATTATTAGATGCCTTTTTCCTTCTTTAGGACTCTTCTTCCATAGTAGGGCACATACTTGGAACAAAATGCAAGAAAGAACAAAAAAAAAAGATCCGAACTCCTCTTTATCCCCTTCTTAGAGTCTTCTTCATTAAAAAGAGATCGTGACTTTAGAACTCCTTTTACCAGCAAGCGCTTATGTTTCTAATTTGAGGAACTTCTGTTTTCAAGGTATGGGTTTCATAAACAAAAGTAAGAGCTGCTTCGGGTCGGGTCATCTTGATGGAAGGTGAAAGAATTCAGCGAATTGTAGAAGAGAACTTGTCAAATCTACCAGAGACGGTTGATGGCATTAAGTTTGAGTTTTGGGACATTTTCTAAGAAGCTATGTACAATTCCATAGTGGTTATCGGTCCTGGTCATCTTTGCCGTTTATTTTACAACTAAGCAGCCATATACAATTCCATAACTCGTTGTAAAGATAAAATTCCTCAAGGCATATTTGAATAAACTTAAAGGTCAAGGGTAAAAGTGAAACTTTTTGTTTGAAACTAATCTTAAAGCTCAGAGGCATTTCAAATAACAAAGCCTCGAAAAAGCATTCCGCTAAAAGAATGAACATGAATTTGATGGATAACAAAGTAGTTCTCCAGAAATTTAAATTTTGGTCCAAAAAGAAACATATGAACATGGCATTAAAAGAACATTCTACATCTAGAATCCGATGAATACATAGCAGGTGGCACTATGATGCTCTTGGCAGAAATGAGCAATCGGAAATGAAAATTTAGAGATACTACCATTCAAGCCACAAATGCAATTCCAAATCAACGAGCCAAAGTTTTGCAGCGGAAAACTAGAAAGTACGAAAAGAAGGAAATGCAAGCAACAAACCTGAAGGTACTTGAGCTTGAGGCTTCCGTAGACAAGTCCAACAGAAAACGCCGAAGCACGAGCAACCTGCCAAGACTCAAGAACATTGAATATGATAAACTATTTCCATTATTGAATCTAAAATCAGATTCGGATACAGCATTCTCAACATATGATATTCTTCCTAATCTCCAGTACAAATTTTTCACGGAAAACAACAAAAACTCACCAAAGCGAGGGTGCTGGTTCCAGAATAGGGCCCTGGAGGAAGCGTCATCGAAGGATTTTCCAAAGGCGAATTAGAGAAGACGAAAGAGTTCGGTAGAACCAGAAGCCGATTATGAGAAAGTGAGGAGCCCTAGGAATTTGGAGGGCTGCAGATTAAGCTAAACGAGCCTAAAGTCCATGACAGTTCGTCGGGGGTTTTAATCCAGTGCGCTCAAGTGTACGCTATTTTTTCATGTTTTTTCATTTTTAATTACAAATTGAACACATTTTATAAATTTTATATTTAATACAAATAATACTTTCTCTCCAAAAGACCTCATACCAATGGAGATAGTATTCCCCACTTATAAACTCATGATCTTCCTCTAAATTAACTAACGTGGGACTCACTCCTAATAATCCTCAACAATCCTCCCCTCGAACAAAGTACACTATAAGCCTTCCTTGAGGCTTATGTAGCACTCGAATAGTCTTCCCTTAATCGAGGCTCAACTCCATTCTCTGGAGCCTCGAACAAAGTACACCCTTTGTTTGACACTCTAGTCACTTTTGACTACACCTTCGAGACTCACAATTATTTGTTCAATATTTGAGGATTCTATTGACATGGTTAAGTTTAAGACATGGCTCTGATACTATGTTAGACGAACACGACTCTCCACAATGTTTTGATATTGTCCACTTTGAGCATAAGCTCTCATGACTTTGTTTTGGGCAGCTTAAATGGGCATTGATATTGTCCACTTTGAGCATAAGCTCTCGTGGCTTTGTTTTGGGCAGCCTAAGTTTCCCCACTTCCTGGTTCTAGTATTTTAAAATAAATTTAAAATTTTATAATCCTAAGTTTTTTAAAAAATTTATTTTTACCTTAGTTCAATTCTATTTATACGAGTAAATTTATAATTTTATTCTATTTTAGTTATAAACTTTTAAAACGTCTATTTTAATTTATAAATTATTAAAATATTACTTGCCTCACTAACTTGAAATCATGCTCATAATTCTATTTTTTTAAATAAATTTATTAAATTTTTTAATAAGATCGTACTCAAAACCATTTCATTATTTTACTAAAATCAAAATAAATGAATAAATAAATAATAGACACTCTCAAAAATTAAAAGTAAAATGAACCATTTGAAATTTTAAAAATAAAATAGAATAAATTTAAAAGTTTAAGCAAAAAAAAAAAAAATAATAATAATAATAATAATAATCCTATTGGAATTAAAATAAATATATGTAGTCAGCATGGTATAATAATTAATAAATAAATTTACAGCTGCGTCGAGCACCTGATTTATCATGTAATTGGAACATAAATACATAAATAATTCGTGAAAATAACTAAATTAGCTCTACTGACAATGGCAATGGAAAGTGTCTCAGTTTATGTGTGCACCAGAAGAACGAATTTGAATTTCAGTGATCGGATCTTCTCTTACAGTGATGAACCCGAATCAGCCATTTTCGGCTCGGTCGTAGGCGTTGGACTTGTGTTTGGGAGCGAACGAGAAGGCATCGGGAACTTTACCGAGCAACATCTCTGAGATCTTAATCTGTAATAATGGAAGGGATTACGATTCGAGGTCGAATGGTTTGAGCACTTTTTGAACTAAAAAGTAAAAATGTATTACCCAGTCAGCTGCAGAGTCGGAGGACATGAGCGTCTCGAGGTCGTCCCGGCCAAAATACGACGGCGGACGCCAGTTCAAACGTTGGGGAACAACATCCAGAAGACCAACGGGAATATATCTACATGTGTAGCTAAGCCATTCCAATAAGAAATGCCTTGTTGTCTCAACACCTGCAGATATAACCATGGGAAGAAAGGATAGCATAAAAATCAGCTGAAGAAGCCCGGTGGCCGTTAAAATGTCATCACTAGCTAATAAAGGGTCGAGCCCAATAATTGTATGAGCCCATTATATACTCATTTTATGACAATGATTTATGTGGTCAGGGAATAAAGATACTAGATATTTTAGGAAAAAGATTGTCTAGCTTATACTATAAATACCCCTCCAACCTACCTAGATTTTTATCCCAGAAGAAATACAAAGCACAAAGTAATCGAATTTCGTTTTGAGTTACGGAAAGGAGGAAGATACTTTATATATGGACTCATGAAAGTATCTGAGAGCTCGAGCATTCAATCACTATTATATTGAATGGATAATGGGCTTTTTTTTATTTGAATCTTAAAAAAAGGAACTTCTTTCTTTTCAATAAGCTCTAGCATGTAATAGGTCATCCCATCTCTTGAAACAATCGGGAGACAGTAAAGATTAGATCAAATGAGAAAGGAAAGGCTTAGTATATTGTGATGTGCGATCTGATCAAAATTTTGATTTTACAGATTCAGAGTGGGAAACTGTCATCCCATTCAATCGAATTAGGATGCCCCGGATCTGACATACGGCTTGCTTGGTAGAAGTAACATGAAGCTCAGACTTTTGGGTGTAGTCAATACTCCCATCCCAAATAAAAGGGAAATTGGTCTATGGTCGATTGTAGTTTCTACACAATGTCTTGTATTCTTTTCCCTTAATAAATAGTGCTAAGTGTTTCCTACGGAGAGCTGTGTTTAATAGTAGCAACAACGAAATGCAACAAGCAATATGACAAGCAACAGGCAACGAGCGACATACCTTTTGTGTCGGAACCCCAGTGCTCAAGTCCAAAATGTACAAAGTTCTTCAAGATGTTTAGCCGCTCCCCTGAAGTGATGTCCCAATTTCTCTGTTCCTTAATTTCAGTAAATAACCAAGGCTGCAATGGGCAACAGATTATAGCAACATAAGCTTCAATGAGTTGAAGAATCAAATAAAAAGAACATCAAACTGCAAAAAAACCTTAATTAATGCTCCTCTAGCAATCGTGCAAGTAGCTAACTTTGGGGATTCAACTTTATGTCGATTCCAATCTGCATATGAAAATACGTCCCCATTTCCTATAACTTGCAGGGAATCAGGAGCTAACGAGGAACAGCGATTGATGTATTCCCAGTCAGCAAGCTTGCTGTAACGTTGCTGGCGAGTACGGCCATGAATGGTTACAGCACCAGCTCCCCAGTTACCAATGTCTGCAATAAGTGAATCGATACGGTTTTTCCCTTCGAAGTAGCCTGTCCGAACCTAATGCAAGAAAAACACAATGGTAAAAAATGAAGAACTTGAGAAACCAAGAACATAACAAATATATAGATCCCCCTCCCCCTAAGAAAGAACACGCTGGTTCGATATTATGCTCCCTAATATACACAATTGAAATCAGATCTCGAGCTCTAGAGCTGTTGCAGTTTTGTTTTTTGGGTCGGTCATTCGGTTTTTGAAAATTAACTTATAAACGCTACCTACACTAGTTGATTTCTTTGTTTTGCTATCTACATTTTAGGAGTATTTTCAAAAACCAAGCCAAGTTTTGAAATCTAAAAACCACTATTTTAAAGAAGCAAGCACAAGTTTCAAAAACCAAAAATCAAGTAGTTCTTAAACGAATAAAGACACAATTTTTAGCAACTATTTGTATTACTACCTCCCAGAACAAGCGACCAAATGAAAACATTTAGCTGCTTGACATCTCTCATCTTTCAAACACTTAGAGGGAGCTATGAAGGGGCTCCTCCTCGAGGGAGCTATCCAGAAACCACCTTATACTATCCTCATGTAAACTAATACAGGAGACAGCTTTCCAAAAATCAAGGGGTCCAGGGCATTTGTGTTAATCTTCAACTCAATTCCTAGAATTCAATCTTATGAATGCAAAATAAGAAAACAACTCGTATATGCTAGATCCACCTAATTACTGTTGGATGATGAAAGTCCCACATTGATTAATTTAGAGAATGATCATGGGTTTATAATCAAAGAATACTCTCTCCATTGGTATGAGGCCTTTTGGAGAAGTCCAAAGCAAAGCCATGAGAGATTATGCTCAAAGTGGACAATATCATACCATCGTGGAGAGTCGTGTTCGTCTAACAATTACAACCTTGAGCTTTTAGCCTCTTAAATTCTCCAAAAGTATTCATTCGTCTCATTTCATTTAACTTTGCCCTCCTAAACTCCCACGAGACCATCACCAATTCATGTAACAAATTTAGGGCAATAAAAAACTCATAACACAAAGGAAGAAAAAGAGAAACGTAAGGAGAGTGCCCATAACCTCAGTTAGAAGCAACTTCACCAGTTAATTTTGGTCGTTCCATTGAAATAAGTACCCAAGTATAATCAGTACCTTAATTGTTATGGGTGTATCCACAATTCCGGAAGCGGTTTCTACTACACTTTTCATACGCATTGGCTTCATAAGAAGAGCTGATCCAGCACCCTTATTGACAACAATGTCAATTGGGCATCCCATGTTTATGTCAATGAAGTCGATCACGCATTCTTTGTCTATAAGTTCTACAGCACGTGATACTGTGTCTGGATATGCACCGCATATCTGAACACCAAATAGATCTTCTGAGGAATGTCGTCTCAACAATGCCCATTCTGAAGCTTGACCCTATACCACACAAGACAAATAATATAAAAGAATGTTCAATTTAACTCATCTTAAGAAATATGAAATAGAAACATCATTAAAAAGTGAATGAATGAGAATCATGCCAAATAATGAACAATGATATTTTAGATCAAAATGAAAAGGGCCAAACCATGTTTTAGATTAAAATGTAGTTGCATAGTTTCATAATTACTAAATGGCTAAATATTATTTGTTTGTTGTATAAGAACAAACAAATAACTTTCAAAACCTATAATTTGGAACTTCATAGCTAGCTGATGTCAATCAATTAAGGAGCCCGTATTAATATTAATTTCTGCAGAGCCAAGGGTAAGATGCACAACCTGCAAAAGATTTGTACACATTGCCATTTCACCGCATGTCACATCTGCTCCTAAAACTTTGCAAACTCTTCTGAAGGGAAGATTCCCAACAGTGGTCAGAGGGGCAAGATACAGCTTATCTCTAAAATCAATAAGTTTTTTTTCGCGGGGATGTGATTTAAGGCTTGCATCACTATCAGGAAGTACACTGTCGTTCACGACTTCAGAATCAATTGGTGTATGGCCCTCACTAATAGTTGCATCAATCATACATGCACCTGTTGCACACATGAGAGATATAAATAACAAGAGAAAGATGAAACTATAAGATAAAGT